AAGATGCATTATATAAAGGTACAATTCCCAGTGAGAAATGTAATTGTGTTGTATACCTACAATGTACCAATAAAAGAATTAAAAAAAAGAAAAATCTTTCCTTGGGCCGGGGATTTAGCTCAGTGGTGCCACCACCTGCCTCACAAGCGTAAGGTCCTGAGTTCAATCCCTGGTACCAAAAAAAAAAAACTTTCCTAGATGTAAAATAAAATATTATTTTGAAAGATATGTCAACCTTTCTTTTCAGTCCTCTTATTTGTATATTTTATACGTTTTATTTTTAAGGCTATTGAATTTATGGAAACTTTTGTATTTGCTATTAAACTGCAACATCTACAAACTGTGAGGCTTGTATTTAAGATTCAAACCCAGACTCCCAAGAAGAAAACCATTGGAGAATGTTCTCTATCACTCAGAACTCTTAGCACACAGGAAATGGATTACTCTTTGGATATAATACCACCTTCAAAAATATCTGTAAGTGCTAATAGTATGATATGTTAAAAGTATTTTATACTTTTAGAATGGTTTAATGGATTGGCTTTTGTTGGAGAATAATTTGCACACTAGAATATAAGAGGATCAAGAACGCCCTCAAAAAAGCAATGATATCACTTAAAAATATTTTAGAAATAATTTGTTGTTTTCGTTTTTTGTTTTGTTTTGAGACAAGGTCTTGCTATGTAATTCAGGCTGACCTTAAACTCACTATTTCAGTGATAGTAAACCTATAGCACGTGTGCTGCAGTGGGCTGTTTGTTATCACTGAAAGCTCTAAAAGGTTTGGCATCACTGTGCTATGTGGTGCAGGCTGTCCTTGAACTCATGGCTATCCTCCTGCCTCAGCCTCCCTCTCAAGTGCTGGGATTATAGGCATGCACCACCATTACTAGCAGAATAATTGACAAAAGTTAACATTACCATTTTTCTTTCTCCATTGGTAAATAAACTTGGGTGTGCTAAATCTTAGTAAGATCTGTAAATGTTATGTTCTTGCCTTAGTCTCATTCTTATTCTTTTTGATGCATGGACAGTAATGTTTCTGTATTTGAACAGCTTTGTATTTCTCTTATTTTTCACTCTGGGGGTTTTGTAATCCATATAAGTAGACTAGTTTGTGTTATATTTCACAGACAAATTTACCAACTGTCTTTTGCTGATGACCAGAAATACCAAAGAGCACATTTTCATTTTACCCCTTCTCTAAGTCTCCTTCATTTTACTGTTTGCCTCAGGTTTTCTTTGACCTTTTCCTTATTATTTACTGCCTCATTGCTTTGACTAGCTTCCTCCCTTCCAGCTTTCTCTGGCCTGCTTCCATTCAGAGTAGCAATTCAACTCTTAATCCACAAATCTATTTATTTTAGGAATCTTGTCTTTTATTTTGGTAGTACCTACTCTGATTTCTAAAATTAGAAAAAATAATATCATACATACTTTTAAACCATATTTAATTTACTCTTAAAAATAATTTGACAACATATAATTCTTTTAAAAGTACAGCGTATTTGGTTAATTTCACTGGCAATTTCTTCAGTAATACTACTTAGGAATTTAATTTGTTTTTAAGTTGAATTGTCTTTTTGTTTTTTTTTAAAGTTCAGTATGTAGATATAACTTGTATTTTCAGAACCTATGCAAGTTAATACCTTCAATTTATAGAATATATGACATTTATCTTGATAACTTTCTCTTTAACTTATGGCTATGAATATCAATAGAAAACAATGCTTTCAGATTTTCTAACTATAGTGCCTTATATTTGAATTTTTGAAATATTTCTAAAGTTTATTATTCTAAATTTATTAATTATTGAATGGCATTTTTTTATATGTAGGTTTGCCATGCAGAACTTGAACTGGGGACTTGTTTTCAAGCAGTAAATAGCAGGATTCAGCTGCAAATTCTTGAGGCACAGTATCTTCCAAGCTCAACACCTCTGACTTTGAGTAAGCATATCAGTGGTTCAAAGTGCATCAAATGCAGAGAGAGGTTACAATTAGATAAGCATCAAGAGATCAGTGGATTAAAATCTTCACTGGATAAACAACCAGTAGTTATGATACTTTGATTGGCTAGACCTGGTTCACTTGGCCACCCCTAGATATGGAGGTCTAAGGTCAGCCCTACCTCAAGGGCTGAGAGGAGGATAAGAGTGCTCTTTTTTTTTCTACCAATGGAAAAGAACTATCCAGAGATGGCAAAAGCAATAGATGTCCACTATAGCTAGAAAGACTAAAAATAAATGAAACTGAGCATTTAACTCCAGAATATAGAAAAACAGCAAACATAGGACTATAGAAGTAAAATTAAAGCTAAATTTGAAGTTGACTAATACAGAGACAACACCAAAAGCTTTTACTTTGAAAGGATTATTAGATAAATCTAGCTGGTTACATGAAGCAAAAAGTAAGGAAAATATGAATGATATTCTGAACAAAGAAGAGGATTTAATTTCAAATTCAGAAGACATTTGATAATAGATGACAGTCTCATAATTAATGTATGCAGCCTCATGTATAATTATACTAATAAATTTGGATATCCATACAAAAGAAATGATTTTCTAAGAAATTAACTCAAGAAGAAATTTTAAAAGAATACCATGAAAAGGTAGTTAACAAACTGCCTCTAATAAAAAGCACTGAGCCAAGATAATTTTACTGTAAGATTCTACCAAACTCTCAAGAATATATAATTCCTATTCTGTATAAACTTTTTAAAAACATGCTAAAAACATAGAAAACATGATTCTGTGAGGTTAACATATTCTTGATATCAAAATAGAATGAAGGGCCCAGGATTTAGCTCAGTGGTTTCGCCACCTGCTGCACAAGTGCAAGGACCAGAGTTTGATCCCTGGTACAAAAAAAATAAAATAAAATAGAATGAATATCACACCAAAAAAAAATAACTATAGATTGATATCACTTGTGTCAGGTAGATGAAAAAAATCCTAAAATAAAAATATTAGCACTTTCTGCTTGAGCTGTAGGCATCATGTGTCAGACTAGGAAGGTCATATATATATATATATTCATTCTAAAATCTACCACTTGTGCAGTACTGGACACTGAACTGAGGCCTGTCTTGTTGTCCTGTGTATGCTAAGCAAGCACTCTACACTGAACTACACCCCCAGCTCAGATGTTTCATATCTTTCAGATATATCAATGTGAATTTTCCCTAGTGCAGTTTCTAATTTGTAAAAGTTGACTTCCCTTCACTCTTTTTCCTGATTTTTGATCAGTCTTTGGTGTTAGGTATATTTTTCCCAATGCTTATTATTATTTATGGGAAGAATAGTTCATGCAAACTCTTGTAACATTGTTGGAAGCTCTGCATGTCAAACTTAAGGAATAGAATTTTTTTATTTACACATGTGTGTCCTATTTATTTCACTTAAAAGTATTACCTCAATGTGCATCCATTTAGCCATAAATGTCTCTAACTTCTCATTCTTATGGTTGAGTAGTACTCCATTTTATTTTAAAAAACACATTTTCTTTATCCAGTCTCCAGTTGATGGGCAACTGGGCTGTTTCCAAGTTTTAGCTATTACAAACTGTACCACTCTGAACAAATAGTTTCTCTGGTATAAGAAACTGAAAGTGTAAATAAGGACTAAAAGGTATAATAGATAATGTGAAATAGGAAGAAAAGGGACAAAGGGAAAAGGGAAGTGGGAGGGGTAGGAGAAAGGAAAGAAGGAAATGGAATTAACATAAAAAAATGAAAAGATGGAAATAAAGTCTTTGTAAATAGAGAGGGTTGGAGGGGTTGAAGGGAGGGCAGGGGAATGGGGAAAAAATAAGAATTAAGATATATTATGTAAAGGCACAAATCTCCAATGCTGAATGTCATTATATTGTATACCTAATATGTACCAATAAAAATAATTTTTTTAAAAAGAATAGATTTTTTTTCTAATGGGCATATACTTAACTGAAGTCTCAAACAAATAATTTTTCAAATATAAAATTTTGAAATACTCTCAATGTCCAATGAGTTGGCACCTCTCTTTTGTATAATCCTTTTTAACATGTACTCCTCTGCTGCCAAATGTTATTTATGCCTACAATTCCATGTTGTTCAAACTAGAGGAAGATTAAAATTCATTTGAGGATATAGTAGTTATCTGTAAAGTGTGGTAAAAGTTATGAAGTTGACTAGAGATGTTTTCAGGTATCAAATAATAGCTCTTTAAACCTTTAAAAAGGCCTATTTATATATTTTTTTACACAAAACATAACGTGTAGATATATATCTTTATGTGGTATTTTAAATAAAATTTCTAAAGTCAGAATTTCTTGTTTCATAGGTTTTTTTGTGAAAGTGGGAATGTTTAGCTCAGGAGAATTGATTTATAAGAAGAAGACACGTTTACTGAAGGCCACCAATGGAAGAGTAAAATGGGGCGAGACTATGATTTTTCCACTTATACAGAGTGAAAAAGACATTGTTTTTCTCTTTAAGCTTTATAGTCGAAGCTCTGTCAGAAGAAAACACTTTGTGGGCCAGGTTAGTAGGGGGTTTTGTCTTGAATTTCTTCTTTGTATCTTTCTACACATTTAAGCAGTTAACAAAGGCAATACAGGATAAAGTTGAAGTTGAATAGAGTAAGATTCTTTAGGATAAATTAAGTGTATTGCCACAAAAATCAAATTTTGTTAGATTTTTTTTCTTTAATACAAGGAGATAGAATTTCTGATTGATCAGACTTATCATTAAGCCATTTTCTAAGCTTGTCAACTTTTAAAAATAATATTTTTTTAGTTTTTCAGTACTACTGACTCCTTTGTAGAAAGGGAGAACATTAAGTATTCAAGTCAAACTTTTCAAGATATTTGGCTATCAAATTAGTTTGTTTCACTTCAATTTAATGTTTAACATGAACACTTTTTATATGCTGTTAACTAAGTTATGTTAGATTTTGAATTCCTAGAAAACATTTTTACAGAGGTTGAGATATTGTAGTCAATTCTGGTATTTCAATTAATCTATTTAAAAATTTCTATTGTATAAGCCACTATAACAAGGCTTACTTGCCAATCCTGTAGGAACTTGTTCCCCTTTTTAATTTTTTTCCTTATTCTCAGTAGATTAGTAGTGGCAGCTGTCCATTATCTTTTATCTTTGTCTTAATTACAGTTGTTTGAGCCACCTTTAAATTCTGAAATCTACATTACTGGTTTAAAAGCTTCTGCTTGACAATATGATGTTACTCACAGTCTACGTGAAATCCTCAAATTATATATATATATATATATATGAATTTTCAAAGATTGATATCAACTCTTTGACTCACTTATTCATATAATTTACCTAAATTATTCATTTTAAATGTTGTAGTTATGTTCCTGCATTTATTTTTATTTAGAAAAGAGTTTGAATTCAAGAATTTCATGAAATTATCATACTTTTCATAGCTAGGAGCCTAGGAATTCAATTCAATTAAAGTTTTCCTGTATCATCAAACCTCAGCTATCATGTATGATTGGAATAGGAAATTTACTTAAAAGATGATTTTTCAGGCTAACAGTTCTGGAAAGGTTCTTGATAGTTGTCTACTCCCCATAGCTTCTCTGATAGCCTTAGGTGCTACCTTGATGGCATAACCACATGAGAACTCAAGTTCTCCCACTCCTTTGTCAACCAAAACACTCTAATGTTATCCGTTTCATGTATTGTGGTTTTTTGTAAGATATTATTTGAAGGAAAGTTTCTTCATACAAGGAATGAAAAGGAAAAAGTTTGAAAACCAATGACCTACTCTAATTTCTTTACTTAAAAGAATTAGAAACTGAGTATCCAGAGAATTTAATGTCAACATAATATCATATGTTAGTGCTAAGGTAAGAATTTGGATTTTTTGATTCCTTGTCAATCTTGTCTCCCTGACATGTGACCATCATGATATGTAACCATGCATAATACCATATAGTTTTCCCAAGTAAATTTATATGTATTACCTAAAATTATATATGAAATAAGTACTATGAAATTACTATGAATAAAGAATGACTATTTGTTAAATTTCAGTTAAGATTAAATTTCAGTTGAGAGGGTTTTATTTAATGTAAAAAGTGCTTAAATGCATCTTATTTACTAATTTAAATCATTAACTTCAGTTTAATCTCTACAGAAGTGTTTTTGAGTGGTCAGGATCAATTTTAAATTCAGCTCCTATTTTGAATAAAAAAAGACTCATGACTGTTTCAGGGGAAATGATTTTGTAATATCCCACCTTGAATTTTTTTAATTGAATGAGATTGTATAAAAGAGCCTTTGGAATACCTAAACAGGTTAAATGTTTTAACATTTAAGCATCAAATGGAGGAGTTAATCTAACTTTTGGGAAACTAGTAAGATATTTACTTAAAATTCTATATACCAAACTTCCAAATATCTTTTTATCAGTAAGAGTAATTGTTTGAACTGAGTTAATCATTATTGCATCAAGTTAAATGATTATATTGTTCCTTTACAGGTTTGGATAAGTGAAGACAGTAACAGCATTGAAGCAGTGAACCAATGGAAAGAGACAATTGCAAATCCAGAAAAGGTTGTTACCAAGTGGCACAAATTAAATCCATCTTGACTTTACACATCAGTTTGGTGAAGAAACAACTTGATAGTCTATTAGAAGACATACAATTTCAATTTGCTAAAAAGTGTAATGAATTTTCAGATATCCAAAGTGAAGGGAATCCTTTAAAATAGTGTCCAAATATAATAAAATAAAAGCATAGTACTAAAAAGTCTATGAGAATATTAACTGTAGATAGGTATTTCTAAGCAATGTTTTTGGGTTTTTTTAAAGCTTTATCTGGATATCCAAAACCTAGTATATCAAGTTCCTGTTAGCACTTTTAGACATTTAGAAGACTTTCCCACTATTCTAGTACTAGAAATTATAGATTAGATCTTGTTTCCAATGTTCATCTCTTCCTATATATTTTGTCTTGGCAAAAATGAATTGAACCATTTCAACTACAGTATTTTCTGTATTTAGGAAATGTTTTTGCTCTGTGTTTATAATTTCTTACCTATATGGCATTATATTACCACTTTGTAAATGACTTATCACCAAGAAACTTCAGAAATAGAAAACTACACTTAGGAAAGAATAAATGAAAACACCAGAAGGCTAAGGTTTAATTGGAGACCCAGAATGTATGTATTTTACTATTTTCCTCCTTCAGATATTTTACTCTTTGTTTCATTTGGAGCTGAAATAAAAAGATCATCCATATGCTTCATCCTAATTAGCAGAATTAAATAGCAAATTCAGCATTTATGATAATCACTTTATTTTAGTTTTTAAATATAAATTATTTATTTCATAATCTATAATTTTAGAGTATTTTTTATGTTTTTTAATAACCATACCTGATGATGCTGTATAGCAAATAAGTATTTGCTGCAGGTTTCTTTCAGGTTTATATAAGAATTCAGTATATGAATATAACTTCAGCTTTAGTTGGCCATAAGAGCTGTGGCCGAAAAGAATGGTTTATTTGAGAAACAAATGACACTATCCCTAATGTTGGAAAACTTGACTTTCTCTTTGCTAATAAGTATGCCACAGACTCTGTGTCCTTGGTCTTCCATTTTTTTCTTTTTTACTTGGTCCTTCAAATGCCAAGAAATGGATGATGATATTTTAGGCCAGAAGTGTATCTTGCTATAATAGAAGCTTTCCTTTTTTATTCCAAGTCCTTTGTTCTATGTATCTCATTAAAAATCTTTCCAAATAAATAATTCTCTATAACAGTCAAGATTCCAGAAATTCAGCACAAGAACAGAATATTAAAACCTGTTAGAGAAAAGAAACAAATCGCCTATAAAAGAAAGCCCATCAGAATTACACCAGACTTCTCAACACAAACCCTTAAGGAGAGCTTGGAGTGAAGTGTTTCAAGCCCTAAAAGAAAACAACCTCCAACTCAGATTGATGTACCCCACAAAACTATCTTTCATAATTGATGGAGAAATAAAATACTTCCATGACAACAAACACCTGAAGAAATTCATGACCACCAAACCAGCACCCCAACATGTTTTGAAGAACATTCTAGAAAAAGATAACGAAGACTACAACTCCATGAATTCCAACAGAGTGAATCCACCAGAGAAGGCAAGTAATTAAACAGAGGGGAAAGAAAGGGAACCAACAACAGGAAAATAACATGACAAGGATAAGTCAATGCATATCAGTTGTGATCATCAATATAAATGGTCTCAATTCACCAATTGAAAAAAACAGACTGGCAGAATGAATCAAGAAACACATTTAACTCAAAAAGAAATTAATATATTGAAAGTCAAAGGATGGAAAACAATACTCCGTGTGACAGAAACCCAGAAAAAAGCACTGGTAGCTATTCTATTTGCAGAGAAAAGCTAAGATGGATCAAGAGAGACAAAGAAGGTTACTACATGCTTGCTAAGGGAACAGTCCAAGAGGAAGAGATAACAATCATAAATATAAATGTACCAAATACCACTGCACCCAACTATATAAAGCAAATATTAATAGACATGAAAAATCAAATAAGCACTAATACAGTTGTAATGGGGAACCTCAATACCCTACTGTCACAAATAGATGGATCAACTAGACAAAAAAGTAAACAGTTATCAGGAATGAACCAATTTTTTTACAAATGAACTTAGTTGATGTCTGCAGAGTGTTCCACCTCAACATCAAAATACATACTCTTCTCAGCTGCCTATAGGGCATTCTCCAAAATAGACCACATACTAGCTCATAGAACATGCTTAAGTAAATGCGAAGGAATTAAAATTATCCCATCCATATTATCAGACCATAATGCAATGAAATTGGAAATCAGTGGCAAAAAGAAATCACAAGAACTTCATAAACACATGGAAATTAACACCCTCCTGAATAGCCAGTAGGCCACAGGTGAAATTAAGGAAGAAATTAGACAATTTCTAAATTAAACGATAATGCCAGCACAACATAACAGAACTTATGGGACACAGTGAAAGCATCCCTATGAGGGAAATATATAGCAGTGAATTTCCATATCAGAAAAACAGCTACCTCAAATAAACAATCTGACATTGAACCTCAAGCTTCTAGAAAAAGAAGAGGAAGTCAAGCCCAAAACTCGTACGAGGGAGAAAATTATAAAGATCAGAGCAGAAATTAATGCAGTGGAAACTAAGAAAACAATACAATGAATCAAAGAGTTGGTTCTTTGAAAGATAAAATATACAAGCCTTTATCCAACCTTATAAAAGGAAAGAAAAAACTCAAATCCATCCAATTAGGAATGAAAAGGGTGAAATCTCAACAGATTCTTCAGGAAATCAGAAGATCAATACCTACTTCAAGAATTTGCACTCTAATCAGATGGAAAACAGAAGAAATGGACAGATTCCTAGATACATATGAATTATCAAAGCTGAATTGAGAAGATATAAAAATTTTAAACCCCATATTGTCAATGAAATTAAAAAGTAATTACAAAACCTACCAACAAAGAAAAGCCTAGGCCCTAACAGATTCACTGCTGAATTCTACAAGAAATTTAGAAAAGACCTAATACTGCTACTTCTCAGACTTTTTAATTGAAAGGGGAGCAGTACTCCCAAATTCATTCATGGAAGTAAGCATTATCTTGATTCCAAAACCAGAGAAGGAACCAACCAAAAAAAAAAAAGAGCTACAGTCCTATCTCCCTAATGAACATAGATTAAAAAAAAAAATCTATATTTTTTCATCTGGCAAACAATGCAGGAAATCACCAAGAAGATTATACATCCTGACCAAGTAGGACTCATCCCAAGGATGCAGGGATGGTTCAACATATGCAAATCAACAAATATAATGTACTATATTAACAGTGCCAAGGATAAAAACCATGTGATCATCTCAAGAGAGGCAGAAAAAGCAATTGACAAAGTTCAAGACCCATTCATGATAAAAACCCTGCAGAAAATTGGAATGCATGGTCTTTATCTCAGTCTGATAAAAAACCATCTGTGACAAACCAACAGCCAACATCATACTAAATGGACACAAACAGGAACTTTCACTCCAAAATCAGGAAGAAGACAAGGATGTCCACTGTCACCACTTTTATTCAGTATAGTTCTGGAAACAGCCAAAACAATTAGACAAGAGAAATAAAAAGAATAAGGATAGAAAAGGAAGAAATTAAACTATCATTATTTGCAGATGACATAGTACTATACATAGAAGACCCCAAAACTCCACCAAACGACTTGTAGATTAAATAACCATATTCAGTAGCATAGCTAGACACAAAGTCAACCCACAAAAATCAATAGCATTCCTGTACACAAAAAACAAACAGAAAAATTGGGAACACTACACCTTTCACAATAGCATCCAAAAAAATGAAATACCTAGGAATCAATCTACTGAAGGAAGTAAAAAAACCTTTACATGAAAAACTATAGTACTCTGAAAAAGGAGATCAAAGAGGGTATCAGAAAATGGGAAGATAGCCCTTGTTCTTGGTAGGAAGAACCAATATAGTGAAAATTGCCATACTCCCAAAATTGTTATACAGATTTAATGTAATCCCAATCAAAATACTATTAGCATACCTCACAGAACTAGAAAAAACAATCCTAAAATTCATTTGGAATCAGAAGAGACCTAGAATAGCATAAACAATTCTGGGCAACAAAGGCAAGGCAGGAGGCATCACAATCCCGGATTTGAAATTACACTAGAGGTACTGTGATGAAAACAGCATGGTACTGGCCAAAAGAAAAACAAAAAAACAGACCCAAGGATCAATGGAACAGAGTAGAAGATAAAGAAAAATTACAAACATATTCAGCCATCTTATCTTTGACAAAGGAGCCAAACACCTTCACTGGAAGAAAGATAACCTTTTTAATAAGTGTTGCTGGAAAAATTGGCTTTCTACATGGCAAAGATTAAAACGAGACCAGTATCTTTCAACATGCACTAAGCCAGAATAAAAATGGATCAAAATCTAAATATTAAAACTGAAACACTAAGTCTGTTGGAAGATAAAATAGGTAGAACTCTTGAAAACACTGGTGTAGGCAAAGACTTTATGAACAAAACCCCCATCACAGAGGACATATCACAAAGAATTAACAACTGGAATCTCATTAAAAAGCTTCTTCCCAGCAAAATAAACCACAAACAAAGTGAAGATGCAACCCACAGTGTGGGAAAAAATTTTTGCCAGTTCCTCAGACAAAGGAGTAATATCTAGAATATATAAAGAACTCAAAAAAAATCAGGCCCCCTCAAATTTAAAGATCCAATCCAAAAATGGGCATCCAAAATGAATGGACACTTCTCAGATAAAGAAGTAGAAACAGCAAATAAGTATATGAAAAATGTTCAACATCACTGGTAATTCAAGAGATGCAAATTAAAACAATGCTGAGATTCCATCTCCAGAAAGAATGGCTATTATCAAAAAATCAACCAATAACAAATGCTGTCAGGGTTGTGGGGGAAAAGGAACCCTTCTCCACTATTGGGAGTGTAGACTGTGCAACCACTGTGGAAATCAGTGTAGAAATTCCTCAAAAAACTAAAACTAGTTTCATTTGACTCAGCTATTCCCCTTCTTGATATCTTACCAAAAGAATTAAAAACATACCACAGTGATACAGGGACACCCATGTTTATAGCAGCACAATTTGTAATAGCTAAATCTTGGAAACAGCCCAAATGCCCATCAACTGATGAATGGATAAAGAAGATGTTTTATACAATGGAGTACTACTATACCATAAAGAAGGATAAGCTTGAGACATTTCTAGCTAAATGGATGGACTCTTAAGTGAGATAAATGGGACACACATGTTTAAGTACCACATGGTTTGTCTGTTGTGAGAAACAAGGTGAAAATAAGGACCAAGATGTATAATAGATATTGGGAAATGGAAAGAAAATGTTCAAAGGAGAAGGGGAACAAGTGAGGGGGAAGGGAGAAAGGAAAAGAACAAAATGAAATGAAGAAAAAGTGGCAATAAAGCTTTTGTAAATGAGGGGAAGGGTTAAAGGGAGGTGAGGGGATTGAGAAAAAAATCAAGATATGTACAGGTACAAATTTCATGATAAATATTATCAATATGTATATTTAAAATGTACCAATAAAATTAATTTTAAATAAGTAAATAATTCTCTTTCCTAGGTACCATCTCCTCAAACTACAAAGTATACATAATTTATATCCCCTGTGCTTTTGCCTAGACTCTGTGGTACCAGTGGTAC